CCCCATGACTTGACCCCAACCAGGAGGCCCCATGACTTGACCCCAACCAGGAGGCCCCATGACTTGACCCCAACCAGGAGGCCCCATGACTTGACCCCAACCAGGAGGCCCCATGACTTGACCCCAACCAGGAGACCCCATGACTTGACCCCAACCAGGACTCCCCATGACTTGACCCCAACCAGGAGACCCCATGACTTGACCCCAACCAGGACTCCCCATGACTTGACCCCAACCAGGAGGCCCCATGACTTGACCCCAACCAGGAGGCCCCATGACTTGACCCCAACCAGGAGGCCCCATGACTTGACCCCAACCAGAACTCCCCATGACTTGACCCCAACCAGGACTCCCCATGACTTGACCCCAACCAGAACTCCCCATGACTTGACCCCAACCAGAACTCCCCATGACTTGACCCCAACCAGGACTGCCCATGACTTGACCCCAACCAGGAGACCCCATGACTTGACCCCAACCAGGACTCCCCATGACTTGACCCCAACCAGGAGACCCCATGACTTGACCCCAACCAAGAGACCCCATGACTTGACCCCAACCAGGAGACCCCATGACTTGACCCCAACCAGGACTCCCCATGACTTGACCCCAACCAGAACTCCCCATGACTTGACCCCAACCAGAACTCCCCATGACTTGACCCCAACCAGGACTCCCCATGACTTGACCCCAACCAGGAGACCCCATGACTTGACCCCAACCAGGACTCCCCATGACTTGACCCCAACCAGGAGACCCCATGACTTGACCCAACCAAGAGACCCCATGACTTGACCCCAACCAGGAGACCCCATGACTTGACCCCAACCAGGAGACCCCATGACTTGACCCCAACCAGGAGGCCCCATGACTTGACCCCAACCAGGAGACCCCATGACTTGACCCCAACCAGGACTCCCCATGACTTGACCCCAACCAGGAGGCCCCATGACTTGACCCCAACCAGGAGACCCCATGACTTGACCCCAACCAGGAGGCCCCATGACTTGACTCCAACCAGGAGGCCCCATGACTTGACCCCAACCAGGACTCCCCATGACTTGACCCCAACCAGGAGGCCCCATGACTTGACTCCAACCAGGAGGCCCCATGACTTGACCCCAACCAGGAGACCCCATGACTTGACCCCAACCAGGACTCCCCATGACTTGACCCCAACCAGGACTCCCCATGACTTGACTCCAACCAGGACTCCCCATGACTTGACCCCAACCAGGAGACCCCATGACTTGACCCCAGCCAGGAATGTCCATGGCTGCAGTCAAGCCCACCCCCCCCAACCCCCGCCAAACGAATTAAGAGATCACACGGGAGAAATGATTTGCTGACAAAATGATATATTAACAATAAACACGATACAAGATTCAAGTTTGTGAGAATGTTTCGTTTGAATACAATACACACTTTAAACCATTCGCATAATCACAGACTAACAGAGCAAGTCTATCCTCAGCATCATCACCACTACCGCCATCATCATCATCTCACAGTGTTTAAAATAGCTTTGAGGTTAAACCGAGGGAGCGGTGGTGCATTTGTTCACATATTTGCACTTTTACTTCAAAGGCGACTGAACTGATGGTAGGGACGCCCCAACCTCCCCCCCCCGCAACCATCAGCCCCCCACATCGTTTTCCAACACCCACACTGACCAGCGTGGTCAAGTATGGTCAAACAATCCCTTTGATCAGCAGCCGGCTGACAAAATGTCGACATCCCTTCTATCGGCGAGACACCATCGCACCTCGACTGGAACGCGCGCAGGAGCGCATGGGTTCGATCCCGGACCCTGTTGTACATTTGGAGTCGGTGTGTTCTCTCTCTTCCCGTGGTGGCTGCGTGGATTACTCTCCGGGTTTCTCCACTCTTGCCCTCCAAGTGCGGACATTATTTGTCTGCTACTCTACATTCACACGTGATGATGACGATGATGGCGGTAGACACGACTTTGAGGAGCTGTCATGTGTGGGTATGAGGCCTCTGGAAGAGCGATAATAGCTCAGTGGGCCTTACCTTAACACCGTTTAATAGCTTAGAATCATCATTAGTCATGCACAGCAAGCTAGCCGAACAAATGAAGACCATCCATATATCTATACGAGGGATGGTAAAACGACATTGTGCGATGCACATACATTGCAACATTTTCATTCAGCGCTTTTATAAATAGTGCACGCGTTGACTTTGGTAAGTAATACAAAATATATATATATCAAGAAACATAATTGGACGGACCAAAACATCCCCGTTTGATCTCCCGTCGTCAAAAGGCCACGGGGTGTGGGCCCAGCAGCTATGGAAACTGAAATTGACTTCGCGTTTTGATCCTTGACAGTTCCGTGCGATCTTCGTTTTGGTTGCTCGTCGCCACAGAACCCCTGCGACGAAGCGATGCCCTATCGTGAATGTCACGGCGAGCGATTGAAGCTGACCCCCCTCCCCCCCCCACCTCCGGAATCAGCCGAGGCTACGGCCTGGCACGTGTTCTGGGGGGGCCGGGGGGGGGGGGTGGTGGCGCTCGTTTGGTCGCAACTTCGCAAGCGAGTCGTCGTGAGCCATAGCGAACCGTCCCCCCCCACCCACCCAGACCCCCACACGCGGAATATCCTGCCCAAGATGGCTGACTTTTATTCGCAGTTAATATTGTGGGTAAAGAGATTCCTAGCCGATCGGATTTCTTCGGGGTGAATAAAGATTTTGATGATCTTTTGGGATGTTTTTGTATCATGCCTTTATTATCACGACCCAGGGTTCTACGGGAAAGATAATATCACGCTGCCGTGAATACCTTCGTAATTTCAGAATCACAAATCTTTATTCAGACTGAAGGAATCCGATGAGCTATGAAGCTCTTTTTCTCAGATGTCCAGTTCACCTTAGACATCCCTGCTGCTGCTCATGGTGAAAATAACTGACGTGAGTTGAGAGACTTTACATCAGCATAGTATATTTGAAGTGTAAATTTTAAATATTAATCTTAAAAACACACACAATATGCTCTGATATAGTCTGTTCTCCTGTGACGCGTGTTGTTTTCATAACGCGAATCGGATACAATTCTAGGAATGTGTTCGGAATTTTTGTTTTAGAACGCGGTGGCGAGGTGGATATAACGTGACAGAGTGAATGGAACGACGTCGCGCGAGTAGAAATAGTGCGCTCGTACGGCGGCCTCGGCATAGCATCACACAAAGCGGGATGCTGCTGGATGATCCTGGATGCTACTCACGCACCTCGGTCTTTGTTCAGCCTGCGAACGCATCTCACGTGTTATCGCGGACTGTGCTTCACTCCTAAATGTTATATATTCTGATAACGAGATTTCCCCGTGTTCGTCAGGAACGCAGCTACTACCGCGTTATAGGAGAACAGGCTGTACATTTTAAGAAATAATAATGTTTCACTAGCCCCTTGCAACGTTGCTCAGGAAGCAAGAGCGTTCACAAATAGTGCAGTAAATCCGAACAAACAAACACATAATGTACGCTACGCGTTGGTCGGCACGCAGTCCGAACGCTTTGCGTTGTGCGCTGGGAGCTTCTTCAGGAAGCTGAAAATGCCGACGGAGTTGACTGAACGAAGGGGCTGCTTCATCCTGCAAGTAGCTTCCCAGCGCGTAGAGCGGAACGTCGGACATCGCGTCGAGCAAACCAATTTTTTTTCAGAGCCAAATAAGGCACAATCGTGGACAGAAAACGTACGCGATAGTTGGCTACCTACAACTGCGTTGGCTGGAGCAGCAACTTTAATTCGACATTCGTACAGTGGGAACGAGGCTCGCTGACGCCAAATGTGAAGCCACTTTGTTGAGCTATCATTTGTGGCCAGGTCGCTTCTGACAAAGAAGTGAATACCTCAGTGGGCTTTGCCTGGTGGGATGGGGAAGGTTGAGTTGTATTAGTATGCATTTGGGTGATTTGTTTTCCTTTCTTGTACTTTGCACGATCGTTGTGTTTTCGTACTGTTAGCTGTTGTGATGTTTTTTACCCACCCCTACTGGATAACTGTAAAATAGAGCTTTACAGAACATCGGATCCCTCCAACATAACAAAATATTCTGATTCAAAATTGTATTCCTCAGAACCGTAGCGGTGTCTCCGATACCGACGAAAGCATAATAGTCGTAACAAAGCCCTCTTAGTCCGTCTGGCATTCGCACCATTCCCATAATGCAAAGGGGCGTCGTGAAGGTGTTGTGGCTGTGCATCACCTACGGGTATAGTCTGCCAGTAGGGGAGCGATTGTGGCTTTGGGATTTTCACCGAACTAAGTGCTTTGTGGGTAGTCTTAAAAAAGTGTCAAAATTGGACGCATTGCACCGGACTTGCGTGCCTACCACAAATTTTTTTTTGCCAATATTTGGACCGTGACGTGAAACGGCGGCACACGTGATATGTACAGCCACCGTGCAGAGGACGACAGCGCATTGTGATTGGCTAATACAACCCCGCAGTGTTCGCCGGGGTGGCCCGCTGGGATAGAACCACTGGGGCTCGTGCCCAGCCAACAACGATGCAGCGCTCTCCGAGGCCCAGGATTGTGGCCTTTCCATCAACTTATGAGTCCAGCCGGAAGCTTCTCCCCCGCTCACCGCAAGCAATATGGCGGCACCTAATCCAGCGATGACAATTTCACGTTCCCACGACAAGGCCCCAGTGCTTTCTAAAACACAACCGCTGCCAAGTACGAATTACATTCATAAATAGTCGTAGTAATAATAATAATAAATGTCATATTTCTATCTGGTAAAGTCTAACCGGCCTCATCCTGCTACCTTGGTCGATCTGGCCAATTCCTTTGCTCGTCGAGGTGCTAGCCTCATTGAGTCTCGAGACTCAATTTGCCGGCCCGTCCTTCCGCCAACGACTCTCTCCCACCGTCGATGAGCCAAACTAACCCCCGCCTCACCCCGCGGCCCGTCAACCCCGAGCGGGGGGAGGGCCCCCCCCCCCCCCCCCCCAACCACGACGGTCCTCCCAATGACTAAATCGTCTTTGTCGGGCTGCTTTAGGTGGACGCTCTGGCCCCCGCCGCGTCGGCGCCCCGGACTCATTTCACCACCTGGCCGTTGCCCGATTTCAACCTGGGCTGCAGTGCGTTGCGCACCTTGTCCAGGGTCTTCATTCGAAATGGGCTGCCCCCCTCTCCGCCCCGGCCTCTGCCGACCTCGTTGCTCCGTCTCACGTCGAGGCTCGACTGCGCCCGCGTCGCCTGCAGGCCGTTCGCGCTGGGGGTCTCCCGCGCCGCCGCCGCCGCCAAAATCTCCGACATGGACCAGGAAGCCCGCGTCGACGTGGTGACCCTCGAGTCGATGGAAATCGCGTCGTCGGACGACGACTCCTCGTACGGAGGCTCCATCACCTCGCTGGACCACGACGAATAGGAGGAGGAGGTGCACGACGCTCGCTTCGGGTCCCAGCCGGCAGCGCCGCCGCCGCTACCGGCGGCGGCGCTGACGACGCCGCAAGGCGAGCCGGACAAGGGGCCGGCCCTGTTGACCATCGCCGCTTGCTTGCCCAGCCAGAGTTGGAAGCTCATCTCGCGCGGGTCCGTCGGGGAGGCCCGCGAGTGGTCGGGCGTGGACGCGGGGGAGGCGGGCGCAGAGCGCGGCGAGGACAGGGCCGCCCGGAAGTGGTCGCCGATGACGTTCGTCAGCGTCCTGGGTCGGTGGTGCTCGCGGCCCGAGCCGACGCTCAGGGCATCGTCGCCTTGGCCGGAGTCGTTGCGTGCCATCTGCGCAGTGACGGAGCGGGGCAGAGAGAGAGAGACACCGACTGATTTATAGAGAGAGACGAGAGCGAGCGCAGTTACAACGGGCCCAAACGGTACCCCCAAACCTCTGGATGCCTAGACAAATAAATAAATATATATCAAAACAATGGTAACACTTACATGGGACTATCGTTTTTTTATGGAAAAAGAACGGATAATACACTGTAACATGACAACAAATGTCATGTTAATAGCTTCAAGAAGTCAAAGAGTCTCCACTTGTTCGCCATCATTGTCAACGCGTGGCCTGGAATCGTCTCCAGGTGGTCTCCAGAGCCCGTAGGCACATTTCTTGTGGTGTTGTTGCAAATTCTCGGAAGTGTTCACATTTTTTTGAAGCACCCTCAACGTTCCATGGCAGTACAGCGAGTAAATCTGTCTGTTCGACATTGCGGCATGGAAATTGAAACACCGGTGCACGTTTCTGAAATGCCCTTCCTCCCACTACCCCTACCGCCCCTCCCCGCATCCCCTCTATCCTCCGAGTTGTAGAAATGTCTACACCAGATTGACAGGTTGCTTGCATGTGGTGGGGTAAAATGTGGGTACTCCCCCCCCCCCCAATCCCCCATCCCTCCCTCTCTCACGCAGTACTTAAGATTTTCTTCCACGTTTCCACCACTCCTTAATGGAATTGGCCAAACATCCAAATGTAGGACCACAAAGCTTGGCAAATCGTTGGCTCCGGTTCTGGCCGGCTTTCCCACTCGTCTGCGGTTTCCCTCGCCGCCGATTCATTCGGTGTTTCTCTCTCTTTCTCTCTTTTACGATCAGAGGAAACAAGAAGATACTCGGTGTAGTCGGCACCTTGCTTCGTTCATCATTTCGTTTTTTTGTTTTGTTTCAACGCTTTGCTTTATTTCTCTCTCCGAGAGCGAACCGAAACTGTGCGCGTTACAAATTACAGATTATGGAGATTTGTTTTACTCTCGATTGGAAAGCGTTCGAAACAAACCCCAATATTGGTGAGAGCAAAATAAAGGCCAGGGATTGAATGCGTCGGTGTTGAACCGACGACGCGTTCGGCTCGGCAAGCAGACCGCTCGTCGATCTCGAATTTAATATGAAACGCATTTTCGTTCCTCGACAGTGTCCAGTGTTGAGAGATTTATGATCGTTGTCCAAATGCCTCCCAAAGCCCTTCACCCCCCCCTCCTCCATCTCCCAAACCCACCATCCTGTGCCGAGCGGCTCAATCAATACCGCAGGGCGCATGGGCTTGTTTAGCACCAAACGACAGCCCGTTCCAGGTACGCTGCTCCAACCTCCAAGGAAACGCTACGTTGTCACACGAGACCGGGGATGTTGGCACGAATAATTAATCCAAACGGGAATGCTTTCATTTGTGTTGCCGTGGGCTCTGCTGCTTTGCAGCAAAGGTTGAAACCTTTAAAATGCATGAGCTCTTGTTCGTCTGTTTGTTTGTCCGTCCGGTTCTCCGTCTGGTTCTCCGTCTGTTTGTCTGTCTGGTTGTCCGTCTGATTGTTCGTCTGATTGTCCGTCTAGTTGTCTGTCTGTTTGTCCGTCTGTCCTTGTGTGGTGGGGGATTACTGTAATTATCTAAAGCTGATCCAATGTCAGACATTGCTCATCACTCACGCTAGCCATGGCCGGGAATCGAACTCAGGCCACGTAGCCTAACCACTGCACCACGGCTCCATCCCGCTTCTTGATTAACGACGCAAATTTCCACCAGCGGCACGTCTGCCGTGATTCCCACCCCTCCTTGTGTTCCACAACAGAATACAATTTTGGTAATGATGTTTTTTTAATATTAATTTACAGATGTGACGATTGACGGTATTAGCCATGCTAATGGGCCCCACAGTTCGGATGTGGCAACTTCCACATATTTGGCTATACAGTAGAAGCAGTGAGCATCAGTGACTTACACCGTGCCGATGAGTCCGAATAATGACGAAAGGCATCCACACTCGTCTATCGCTGCCTCCCCGCCGCCCGCCAGTCGCCCGAAACACAATTCCATGATGACCATCGATACAACATCACAGTGCAGTTCTTCAGGAACTGGTGGCTTTTTTGTTTGTTACATAAAGCACAAATGTGGGCCCCGTCTGCGCGTGCACGCACGTGACCAGGCGAGCAGAGCGAGCAGAGCAGAGCGATCGACCAATCAACCGATCCTATTTGTCGGGACCGAGGCGCTCACCTCCAAGCGCAGCGGACACAGCGACAGCGGCTGCGTGTTCTTCCCCCGCACGACGCCGCGGGTGTTGAGCGCGACGGCCAGGCTCCCGGAGAAGGCGGCGTTGAACGTGTAGAGCGCCACGTTGGTGTCGGCGTTGTAGAACGAGAGCTGCCCGTCGTCGTACCGCAGCAGGATGCCCAGCCGCTCGAAACGCTTGCAGTCTTTCAGCTGCTCGGCCTGCACGCATCGGTCGGTCGGTCGGTACGGGTGACTCCGTTAGTCGCATTGTTATTTGGGTTTTTTTTTTTCTTCCGATTACGCGTCACCTCCTCTTGGGCGCAGTTGTGTGCGACGGAGAAGGTGGAAATAAATGGACTGGAGCGTGAACCTGTCTCCGCCGGCTAGTGAGCAGAGAGTGTCCACGGTACACGTGCATACACCGACTATAAAACTATGAATAACTTTTTTGTTGTTTTTAAACTAAGAAAGGCCCACTGAGCTATGTAGCTCTTTGTCAGAAGCGACCTGGCCCACACACAAATGACCGCCCAACGGAGGTGGCTTATCGTCGCGTGGAAATGCATCGCGTCCAAACACCCTGCACGCGTGACCTCGACTCCGAAATATAGAAGTGGGGGGGAAAAAACCCCGGACGACCACGAGACAAAAATCCATGCGACCACGGTGAGAGAGAGAGAGAGACACCACAAATTCCATGTAGGACCCTGAGAGAAATCCACGCGACCACGCAAACTCCACATGTTACAGCAGGCGTCAGGGTCGGGATGGAGCCGACGACCTCCCAGCACACCAGGAGAGGAAGTTAACATCTCGCCACCCCACCATTCGCCACTAAGCGGCAGTTCCGTCACGAGAGCGCCCAGACGTCTCCGTACCTTGTTGTTGTGCCAGGCATGCAGGTTCCCGTGCGTCGCCACGAGGGCCCACGAGTGCGGGTTCTTGCCGATGAGGGTGTCGAGACCAGTGCCCTTCCGCTTGAAGCCTTCACTCACCACTCCGACCGTCCACGCCTCCTTGTTCCGCACAGACACCTGTACACACACACACACGGCACACACACGGTTACACACACACCACACACGGTTACACACAGCACACACACACTCCACACACACACCACACACACACACACGGCACACACACCACACACACACGGCACACACCACACACACGGTTACACACGGCACGGCACACACCACACACACACACGGCACACACACACACCACACACCACACACACCACACACACGGCACACACGTGCTGAGGACAGGGGTCTGGAGAGAGGAGATAGACTCACAGCACAAAGACAAAAATCCCCCAACCCCCGTATCGCCGAAAAGAGTGTCGGGGCAAGTGCTGTTAGCGAGTAGCAGCACCTATGAAGGCCGGCACTGCACACTAGGGGGTGGGTGGCCAGCACCACGCCCGGCCGCCTTTGTCTCTCAAACTCTACGCCTTTTGGCGTCCTCTGGTCTAACACCGTTGGAGACGAGGCTCAAAAGAAAGCTGTCTCTGGTGTGGACCAATCAGTTTCAAAGGCAATGCATATATTTCGATTTAAAGATTTTGTGACTACAGGGATTCATCTTCTATTATTTTATTATGTTTTATTATTTTTTATTTTATTATTTCCCTTCAACGTGACTTTAGCGAAAGAACCAAGAAAATGCATATATTATCAGAATATGTTTTTGGTTTGCATTCTGACCACAAGTATTGTGGTTAACGCAGACATGATTCCTTGTAAAAGGTTTCAGTTTGGTGTTTGAACATCTTAACACAGCTGTTTTTTTGCCAGAAAAAAGGGGACACCCTATTATCATATTTCTATAAAGTCACGTAGAATGGAAATAATAAAATAATAAAAATAAAACATTCTATTATTATATTATTATGTTTTATTTTTATTATTTTATTATTTCCATTCTACGTGACTTTACCGAAAGAACCAAGAAGATGAATCCCTGCAGTCACGAAAGCTTTAAATCGAAATCATATTTCTAGTTCAGTTTATAATTCGAGTTGTTACACCACTGCAGCAGCGTAGGGTAACGTTTGTCACTGCAAGGCCTCACGGGCTACTGACGGCCCCTGGTGACCTTTAGTGAGGCCCCTGGTGACCTTTAGTGAGGCCCCTGACGTGCAGGGCCCCCACCGACCATACCCACAAAGTGCGGCAACAACACCACCACCCATCGTCATCACCATCATCGTTGTGCTACTGTCAGACCCCCCAGCGGTTTCAAACGTGTGGCGGCCCTCACACTGATCTGATGTCGCATCGGCGAAAGTGTCTTCCCCCCCCCCACGCCACCCCCCCCCCCTGATGAAGATGAGTGAAGAACACTGCCGTTGATGGTTGTGCACGGGAATACACACCTCAAAGTAATGCGTGCCGCTGCTGAATCTCTGCTTGCAGAGGACATTGAAGGCCATGTCGAAGCGATGCGGATTATCTGCACACGCAGAGACGCGCAGACACATCACGCAAAAACGTGAGCGAAGCCAAGGTGGTGTTGGTGGTGTAAGTGGGTGGTGGTGGTGGTGCTTCTCGCTAACAGCACTTGCCCCAACAGTCTGTTTAGGCTCTCTGGGAGACCTTTGTCTTACGTGGTGATGGTGAGACAGACAGATAGGTGGACTACGGCTAATTGATTATCGCTTTCAGTTAGCCCTTCAAGCTGTCGCTCAAAAATGGTTTATTGGTACCGGCTGGTGTGGCAAATGCGAACGGTTATTTCTTTGCTTAATTGTATCTCTGCATCTTAAATACTTACGATTGCAAAGTCACCGTGGCAGTGTATTTTTTTAATGGGGCAAAAGGTCAATGACCCTAAGGGCACACCGTACGTATGCATGTATGTTGAACGAATTTCACACTGGAGGACCTGGAGAAAAATCCATGCGACCACCATATATATAGGAGGCGTCAGGTTTCGGGATCGAACCCACGACCTCCTGCACACCAGGCGAGGTAGTTAACATCTCCTAGCCACTGATCATGATGATGAGAGAGAGAGAGAGGAATGCAAATTCCAAATGTTAGAGCAGGCACCGTCAGGTTTCGGGATCGAACCCACGACCTCCTGCACACCAGGCGAGACAGTGAACATCTCCTCGCCACTGATCATGATAATGATGAGAGAGAGAGAGAGAGGCATGCAAATTCCAAATGTTAGAGCATGCACCGTCAGGTTTCGGGATCCAACCCACGACCTCCTGCACACCAGGCGAGGCAGTGAACATCTCCTTGCCACCGTGATGATGATGAGAGAGAGAGAGAGAGGCATGCAAATTTCAAATGTTAGAGCATGCACCGTCAGGTTTCGGGATCCAACCCACGACCTCCTGCACACCAGGCGAGGCAGTGAACATCTCCTTGCCACCGTGATGATGATGAGAGAGAGAGAGAGGCATGCAAATTCCAAATGTTAGAGCAGGCACCGTCAGGGTCGGGATCGAACCCACGACCTCCTGCACACCAGGCGAGGCAGTGAACATCTCCTCGCCACCGTGACGCACTCACCCTCGACGGCCGTGGGGGTCGGCGATGTGAACAAGCAGTCGGACACGGACGCCGTCGATCTGCGGTTGGACACCGTGAGGAGGTCGCTGGACAGCACGAGGTCGACGTTGGCCGTGTCCGGATCGAGCGTCAAGTTTCTCGCGTCTGGTGAACCCACGTACGCACGCGTGCGAAGACAGAGTGAGATTGACCCCCCTCCACCCCCGGACGGCTCTGAACAGGACTAGCCTCCACCACCACAACAACAACAACCTCCATTCGCCACTAAGTGGCCCGTGAGGTCACCACGGCGCTTGTGCCAGGCCACGTGCACGTTAAGGTACACGCACGGTAGGTACGCGCACGTGCACGCGTGCGTCACCATCATCTTGATCATCAGCAGCAGCAGCCATGATCTATCCACTGCTCGACCAAGCCGTCTCAAGTCAGAGAAGTTATTATTTGTGTTGCTAAAACGCATGGTGGTGCCTTCCCGACACAAATGTGCCACCCGAAGCGCCATCGTCACGCCATGACACACATACACAAGATACAATAAAACTATTATGTACAGTTCAAGTATATGTATAAAATATCATTAAAATCAAGTTGTGGCTGTGAGTTCGTTATTGTCACCGTCTGCCGGGTTTCTCGCGGTGAGTAGTGAGTGAGTAGTGCCAGCGAGTGAGTGAGGAGCCGTGCCAGTGAGTGAGTGAGTCGTTCCCGTGCCAGTGAGTGAGTGAGTTGTTCCCGTGCCAGTGAGTGAGTGAGTCTTTCCCGTGCCAGTGAGTGAGTGAGTCGTTCCCGTGCCAGCCAACGGGGGGAGGGGGGGGCGTGCCAGTGTTGAACTCACAAGCCCAGGGTCTGGGCAGCAGCCTCTTCAGCTGGTTCTGGATGTTGTTGACGCCAACGAGCATATTCTGGAGACGCCGCTCGTCGACATGAACTTTGTCTCCGTTAAACGTCGGCCGTTGTTCCAGATTCGCGATGCTGTCGACAAGGTAGGAGGTGGCGGATGGGGGGGGGGGGCAGAGAGAGAGGTTGTGAGACGTTAGAGGTGACCCAAGGCTTGGTTCGAAATGGCCGTGTCGGAGGCACTGAACCGCCAGGGACTCGACCGCACGCGAACAACACGCAGCTACGCACTCGCTCACACGGAGACCTATAGACTCATTCACAGAACCATAGACTCACCCATAGACTCAAACAGAGACCCATAGACTCACACGGAGACCCATAGAAACACACAGAGACCCATATACTCATTCACAGACCCATAGACTCACCCATAGACTCAAACAGAGAACCATAGACTCACACGGAGACCCATAGACTCACACAGAGACCCATAGACTCACACAGAGACCCATAGACTCATTCCCAGACCCATGGACTCACCCATAGACTCAAACAGAGAACCATAGACTCACACGGAGACCCATAGACTCATTCACAGACCCATAGACTCACCCATAGGCTCAAACAGAGACCCATAGACTCACACAGAGACCCGTAGACTCACACGCGATAACCGCTGCACCACCGCCCCCTCCCCCACTGCACACACACGCACACGCGTGCACACACGCACATGCACTCACCATTTTCTCATCTCCTCCGCATCCTGCGAAGCAAAAAACGAAGCGTCGTTAGTCAACGTCGGTACGCGTGCACACGGCCTACTCATGCCCCACGTGACGACCGCAATCGTTATCGGATTTTCGTGGCAACTGCGGTGATAATGATGCCCAATGAGGGTGAAATTGGCGTGGGAACAGACGCACGCTTTGAGAGCTGCGCGGTTTTTACTGGACCGCACGCTGACAACGCCGACGCTCAACCGAATCTTGCGTTTCACACACTTTATTATTATTAATCTTCGTCTTGCGTCGCTCATTATTAATAAATTCGCTTATCCACCGATGAACATCTCACCGAGCCTCCAGGCTCCATATTCAGGAGGGAGTGAAGTGAGAGGGAGGTAGAGGGAGGAACGTGCGTGGAGGAGAGAAGAGAGAGGAGAGTTCGTGGAATGGAGTAGAGGGAAGAGAGAGTGGAGCAGAGAGAAGTGGGAGAGAGAAGAGAGTTCGTGGAGTGGAGCAGAGGGAGGAAAGAGTGGAGCAGAGAGACGAGAGAGATAGTTCGTGGAGTGGAGCACAGAGAAGAGACAGAGGATAGTGCGTGGAGTGGAGTAGAGGGAAGAGAGAGTGGAGCAGAGAGAAGTGGGAGAGAAAAGAGAGAGGAGAGTTCGTGGAGTGGAGCAGAGGGAAGAGAGAGTGGAGCAGAGAGCAGTGGGAGAGAGAGAAGAGAGAGAGGAGAGTGCGTGGAAGGGGAGCACAGAAAAGAGAGAGTGGAGCAGAGAGAAGTGGGGGAGAGAGAGAGGAGAGTGCTTGGAAGTAGAGCAGAGGGAAGAGAGAGTGGAGCAGAGAGCAGTGGGAGAGAGAGAAGAGAGAGAGGAGAGTGCGTGGAAGGGGAGCACAGAAAAGAGAGAGTGGAGCAGAGAGAAGTGGGAGAAAGAGGAGAGTGCGTGGAAGGGGAGCACAGAAAAGAGAGAGTGGAGCAGAGAGAAATGAGAGAGAGAAGAGAGTTCGTGGAGTGGAGCACAGAGAAGAGACAGAGGACAGTGCGTGGAAGGGGAGCACAGAAAAGAGAGAGTGGAGCAGAGAGAAGTGGGAGAGAGAAGAGAGAGGAGAGTGCTTGGAAGTGGAGCAGAGAGAATTGAGAGTGGAGCAGAGAGACGAGAGAGAGGAGAGTTCGTGGAGTGGAGCACAGAGAAGAGAAAGAGGAGAGTGCGTGGAGTGGAGCAGAGGGAAGAGAGAGTGGAGCAGAGAGTTTAGTGGGAGAGAGAAGAGAGAGAGGAGAATGCGTGGAGTGGAGCAGAGAGACGAGAGAGAGAGAGTTCGTGGAATGGGGCACAGAGAAGAGACAAAGGAGAGTGCGTTGAATGGAGCAGAGGGAAGTGAGAGAGAGGAGAGTTCGTGGAGTGGAGCACAGATAGGAGACAGAGGAGAGTGCGTGGAGTGGAGCAGATAGAATTGAGAGTGAGGAGAGGGGGGAGCGCGTGTGAGTCTGCCCGGCCACCCACCCACCCACCCCCCCGTCTCACCTCGTGGGACGCCCTCTGCTCCACGCTAGTCCAACGCTGCTGCGCCTCGATGATTCCCGTCTCCTGCGCCAGCAGCTCCAGCTGCTGCAGCTCGATCCGCTGCAGGGCCTGTTGCATCTCCGCGTGCGCCAGCTCAAGAGCGGCTGTGCGGTCCTGAGACAGGAGCTGCTCCATTTCGTTGTAGCCGTTGTTGAGCTCTTCGCAGAGCCGCTCCGTAAAGGTCTGCGCGGTCGTCGTCACAATTGTCACCATCATCGTCGATCGGCGTCACCATCATCAACGCGATCATCGTCGCCATCATTGCCGCCATCATCATCATCATCAATACAATTATCAGCACCACCGTCGTTATCATTACCACCACCATCATCATCATCACCATCATCATCACCATTATTATTAACATCGTCATCACCATTATCAACACGATTAGCATCACCTTCATCATTACCATCATCAACATCATCTCCACCATCACCATCATGATCACCACCACCCTCATCACCATCTGTGTTAGTCTATGGGTCTCTGGGTGAGTCTATGGGTCTCTGTGTGAGTCTTTGGGTCTCTGTGTGGGTCTATGGACCTCTGTGTGAGTCTATGGGTCTCTGTGTGTGTCTGTTGGTGTGCTGTACTAGTACAGCAGTACTAGTAACGAATTGGCATTGTTCGGTATACGTGACAAACCTTACTAATTGGTTGTGTCGGGTGGTGGCGGATTTAACGACACATTTATATTTACGCGATCTAACCCAAAACACCTGTATTGAGTGGCTCGTAGGCCCACCGTCTCTTTCAAAGCCTCTCGTCCAAACACCCTCTCAAATGTGCTCTTTGTCTCGGACCCATTGTTGTTGCTGCTGCTGCTGCTGCCAGAAGTGGCACGATAAATACATTTGCGGGGGGCTGCGGGTTTTACCGTGAGCCCGGGCGATGAGTCACTCGCGTTGTGTTCGCCGGCCAAGAATTCTAGCGGAATACTAATTCATTTGTGGGCAAAGCTCGTCCTGAGAGGCGGCGTGCACTGAAATTAATGATAATTTTGAATCAAAGTGTGTGAAATTACGCGTGGTTGAACTGACAGTTTTAATTTATCCGTTAATGCCTGTGTACCACCCACGCACGATGGTTGTGTAAAGGTTTTTTTTTAATTTTTAATGAATACTGCAGTTGCAGCTGAGCTTACCCATTCACTCGCACGAAAGGCATTATCACCGCAGCGGTGCGAGAGTCACGTTTTCAGTCATTGCGTACTCGGCGGCGATGACACACGGACCATCACATGGAACGAGTTTTGCAAATGTTCCCATTGAATCGCGGTGAGATGCATTACACTGGTCAACAACAACAACAAAAATTCTGGCCTGGACTTTTGCAGCTGTTTTAGACTAATTTCAGGGTGCTGATTCCAAATCTGATCTCATATTTGTTCTATCACATCTCATTTTATGCTATCGGCATACCCCATTTTCATTGATTTTACCCGAAATTAACTCTGTCACTTATGATTGCAAGTTGTTGCGAGTCAGTGACTGCTTTAGTGTTAAAATATGGTGCTGTATTTTTAGAATAGTGTGTTTATAATATTATTTTATGTAGATATCCACATTTATTTAATATTTTTCTTCTGCAGTTTTTATTGAAAATGCAATATTTGATATCTCAAAAACCTGATGTGATAGCCAAAGACTGATGCCAGATTTGGAATCAGCACCCCAAAATTACCTTGAAACCGTTGGAATACCTTACGCCAGAAAAAGTGTGTTGACCAGTGTTATCAGAATTAGCTGGGGAGACTGCCAGAGCCGTGGCAGGGAAATACATGCAATTTTCGGACGTAGCGAATGTTTGGGCCATACTGCCTCGTCTGTACGAAGGCAGTGGTGTGTCATAGAGCCTCCTCCGTCAGGCACACACAAATCAATACGGTCGCCACGTGAACGAACGCGCCCAATCTGTAATGCTTCAGCACCCCCGGTGCGCTGGACAGCGATCCACTCACATTTGACAAGCGGGTTACGACGCTTCGCTGCTGGTTTGTCAGTATTGTGGATTATCTAATCCGGTCCATAATAGAGGTTTTTGGGGTAAATCGCGTGCGTATAAATGTGTCGTTAAAACCGCCACCACCCGACACAGCCAATTAGTGAGGTTTGTCACGCAAACAATGTGTTGCAGTCGAAACGTCGTGAGAATTTTTATTGTTTTATATTCATATTATTTTATTATTTCCCTTCTACGTGACTTTACCGAAAGAACCAAGAATATGAATCCCTGCAGTCACGAAGGCTTTAAATCAAAATTTACGTGCCAATTCGTTACGAGTTCACCACTAACCGGTGTGTTGGAAAGTGAACCCACAACATTTACAAATCGAGTACGACGTTTCGTCGGTAATTACAACCAGCATCATCAGGCGACAGCCAGATAATATTGGTCGCGACAGCCTCCGTGTTAAAGCTCCTCCAGTCTTGGGGGCCTTTAACAATTCTGCCAATCACCTGATGAAACTGTAGGCACGTCCGTTGAACTTCTTTCGCACCGCACGTACGTAGCGAACCGTGCCAATCGGAGGTTCTGGTTGCAACTGCCAGTGACACGTTCGTGGTGCCCTTAATTGTTACATGCGTGTGTCGATTAATCTCCATCACAGTGGCGTGCTAGAGCAATAATAATAATTCTTTTAATACATCGGCGTGTTTGTTTCACGTGACCACTTTGCTTATTTGGCCGTGTCAAGCAGGTGGATGAGGGTCTACGACACACACACACACACACATCGGCCTTCATGGCCCAGCAGTGGATAGACCACGGCCGATGTCATGACCGTCGGACTGGCCACGGCGATGAGGATGCAGTGCGGGTATGTTGTGTGCAAACTCACCACGATGATTCGCTTCCTCGCCTCGGAGTCCTTCTGGTGGTCATCGATGGATTTTGTTCTCTCCTGCAATCCTTCGAGGCACTTGGCAATATGCTCCTGCACACAACCGTCACCGCCACCACCATCGTCAATATCTGCAACGTCCCATACGTCGTCACCATTGCAGCCGTCACAAATGATCGCGTACTCATCGCCGCTGTCATCGTCATCATCATCATCGTCGTCGTTTGCTCTTCTCCAGCACGATCATCGCCGTGAGCTGTCCCCGTAGGTAGGAAATGGAACTTAGAGAGAGAGAAAGAGAGAAAACCCTCCACTTTATACGTTGGGGGGGACACTCAAAACCTCCGTCAGATGGATTCAATCCACGTGCCATACTGCCAGTCATTTCCGGCAGTACGGCAAGATGAGATGATGAGAGGGGAGAGATATAAGGGTTGCGTGGAGGGGAACAAACTGGGATGAAAGGGACGAGGTAGGAGAGTGCATGGAGGGGAGTAGAGTGAGATGAGAGGGGCGAGGTAGGAGAGTTCGTGGAGGGGAGCAAAGTGGAATGAAAGGGGAGAGGCAGGAGAGTGCGTGGAGGGGAGCAAAGTGGGATGAGAGGGGAGAGGTAGGAGAGTGCGTGGAGGGGAGCAAAGTGGAATGAAAGGGGAGAGGTAGGAGAGTGCGTGGAGGGGAGCAAAGTGGAATGAGAGGGGAGAGGTAGGAGAGTTCGTGGGGGGGGGGGGAGAGAGTTCCAGACTGCGGTGGGCACAGGAGGAGGAGATTGAGCGACCTCCACACACAAATCTGTATCAAGTTTGCTGTGACAGTTTCACCTGAAGACGGAAGCTTGTGTTGCCTCCGAAACGTCGTGATTTATTTTATTTTATTTTTTATTAATTTTAATTTCATTTTTTACCTACGTGACTTTACCGAAAGAACTAAGAGTATGAATCATTGCAGTCACGAAAGCTTCAAATCTAGAAAAAAAATAAAAATCACGACGTTTCCGCGTACGCATCTGGGACGTCTACCGCCGCGTTATAGGAGAAAGGCCACCCGCACGCACATCAGACGCGGGGGGGGTGGGGTAATACGCGGGGCGAGCGCTTGTCCGCAATCATCGGCGCGCGACGCGAGCGCAACGTGCCTTGCGCTGCTGCAGGAGCTGCGTGGCGCTGATGTAGCTGTGCTTGGCGTGCAACGCGGAGGTGGTGCACGAGGGGCAGACGAACTCGCGGTCCTCCTGGCAGAAGAGCAGCAGCTCCTCGTTGTGCAGCTCGCACAGAGGCATGGCCGGGTCCAGACGGCTGTCGCGACTCGCGTGTCTAATGCGGGGCAGAGACAGTCGTTGTTGTTGTTGTTGGCGTGGTTCTTTGTCGTCGTCATCGTCGGCATCGTCGTTGTCATCATTCTCCTCGTCGTCATCATTGTCATCATTGTCATTGTCATTATGATCATCGTCATCATCATGGTCAGCATCGTCATCATCGTCATCATCATTGTCATCATCGTCATCATCATTATCATCATCTATGCTACCATCGTCATTGTAATCATTATTATCGTGAGCATCATCGTCATCATCGTCATCATCATTGTCATTATCAGCATCATCATCATCATCATTGTCAGCGTGGTTATCATAATCATATCATCATTATCATCAACATGTCAATCTCATCATCGTCATCTTCATCATGATCATCGTCATCATCATCGCCGCCACGATGAAGACGAAGTCGTCCCCAAACTAACTCGCGAACGTACACCTTGAAAAACCCCACATGGCCACGTTAGCGAGAATCATAAAACCCACAAAATCCACCCCAACAAAAATCAATCTCACCACCTCATCAACACTGCCTCGATCAGCTACCACCATCAAGCAGCAGCAGCTGCAGCAGCAGCCGCCGCGATCTATCCGAAGCTGGATGAACGCCTCCCCCCCGAGCTGTCGCCAACTCTCACAAAACCTCGCTCCCTGCCGGCCTCCCCGCAACGCGCGAGCCGATCCCCCACCGCTCCATCTCCACGTTGGACGTCGCTCCCCTCGAGCCCTCGCGCGATTACCTCTACCCCCCCTCCCCGCCACCGCCGCCGCCCCCCTTTTGGGCCGCCGATGGTTCGTGAGCGTCGAACGCACAGACGTCGATCGACCCTCGGAGGCGACGACGTCTCCTGCGCCGTCGGAAAGGTTGCGAGTTCAAATCCTGATTCAGCCCATCATTTATCCGGGGGAGGGGGGGTGGTCGATAAAATTGGTACTATTTTGTTTTCCGTTGTAACTTTTTGACCCCTTCTTCTTGGTTCTTTCGGTAAAGTCACGTAGAATGGAAATAATTAAATAATAAAAAGAAAACATAATAATTGTATTATTGTATATTATTATATTATATTACTATATAATAATATTATATTATTATATATTTTTTATTATGTTTTATTTTTATAATTTTATTATTTCCATTCTACGTGACTTTACCGAAAGAACCAAGAAGATGAATCCCTGCAGTCACGAAAGCTTTAAATCGAAATTTCTGACCCCTGTGCGCCCGACTGTACATCTGTGAAAAATAGAGATTCACAGCTGATCGGACTTGGTCCAGTCTAAATAAAGAAAAGATTCGGTAAAGTCACGTGACTTTACCGAAAGAACCAAAGAGTACGGAATCCCTTGCAGTCACGAAAACTTCAAATCAAGATCGCGTCCACGATCTTTCGCCGTCGCGTTCTCGAGCCCAGTGCGGTTTTTCAGCCCCGGTCGGGCCGGGCACGCGGACGCCCTGGGGGTGCCGCGTGGCAGGTTAGCGGCGAGGTGATTAATGAACGTGGCGACATTTTATAATCGAGCGTGAGAGCCGCCGGTTGAATTGATGAATCGTAACCGCGTACGAATCTGCCGTTGTAAAATAACCGCGATAATGAAAAAAAACATTCCGTGTCGAAGCCAACATTACGAAAACTTCAAATCTAGATTGAAAACATTAAATCAATGCGGAAACGTAGAAAGATGTACGGATACCTTTCAAAACTCGTTGATTTTAAACAAGGTGGTTTCCAAAGAGTTCGCAGCGAGGGCGAACAAATTACGCCACGCACGGCAGAGCGTCAATTGAATTTGTTTTTTTTTTGTATTCGCTTGCAGTTACGAGCAGCCAGTTGGGATATACCTCGCGAAATGGGCAATTAGTTAAAATATTCTGTTAATTGTTCGTAACACGTACTGCTCAGGGTCACGTTGGGTCATGCAAGGCCGGTACACTCGGTGGAAAATCTAATTCAACAACGCGTACCAGAAGCCCAACACATATAATGTTGAGAACCACTCATGATACAGGTTTGTTTCGGGTTCGATCGCGTAAATATTTAAATGTGTCGTTAAACCCGCCACCAGCCGACACAGCCAACTAGTACGGTTTGTCACGTAAACAGAACGTGGCCAATTCGTCACTAGTACAGCACTAGTGTGTAGTGTAGTGTATAGTGTAGTGTATAGTGTAGTGTATAGTAGTGTAGTATACTAGTACAGCACACCGGTGTGTTGGAGAGCCAAGCCACGACATTTACACTCTGAGTACGACGTTTCGCCAGAAATTGCAACGAGCTTCATCAGGCGACAGACAGTTTGTTTTGGAGAAGTCCACCTGTTTCGTTCCTTAAACAGAGGCGCAGATGAGATGGCAACGCTTGCGCCACCACTGCTGAGAACCACTGCTCATATTCATGCGATCCGCTCCCTCCTTTCGCCCGGTGTCATTCCAAGCATGCCGTCGCTTGCCCGTGGAATATCGGCGTAAGGCACTACCACTAGAGCCGTCGATCCGTAAACAATCCTTCTCGATGATTCTCGCTGCAAGCAGCCAGGTGGCTCAGTGGTAGAGGGAGCGGCTCGCAGTCGGGAAAGATTGCGAGTTAAAATCCTGATTCAGCCCATCATTTATACGGCGGGGGGTGGTCGGTAAAATTGGTACTGCATTGTTTTCCGCTGTAACTTTCTGACCCCTGTGCCCCCGACTGTACATCTGTGAAAAATAGAGACTCACAGCTGATCGGACTTCGTCCAGTCTAAATAAAAGATTCTGATTCTGATAGAGGAGACGGAGAAACTGTAAAGCTCTCTGGAAAGGGCGCTTGATGAATCCTAAAAAAGAGTAGAATACAGAAAGAGATACGGGGACTACGCGATAAATCGAGGTAAGTTGCAGAAGGCAAGAGCGAGGCGTGACAGAGACAGAGCTCGATATAAGAAGAAACAAAACAACTTTTTTCTTGCTGGCTGGTACAGAGTCACTTTTAGGTAACGTCCAAGTTGCTTATATATATTCTTAGGTTTTTTTCGGTAAAGTCACGTAGGTAAAAAATTAAAATTTATAAAAGTTAATAAAATAAAAATCAATTAATTAATTTTTTTACCTACGTGACTTTACCGTAAAAACCTAAGATTATGAATCATTGCAGTCACGAAAGCTTCAAATCTAGAATTGCTTAGATATATACACACACGCACGTATATAGATAGATATAGAATAATGAAATACACTTACCGCTGTCGGGCAAAAAAAAAAAATAATCTTCGATTGCGGACCGCTCTGGCAGGAATGAAGCAGCGCACGCTCGGAATGCCACGAGGGTAATGGCCACGTGTGATCACAGAGCGACAGAGAGTGTCACCCTCTTAAGGGCGCTTTGTGTGTAGGTGTGTTGGGCGTGAGGGAGGGTTTGGGAGGGGTGGGTACACGGACCTCCCCCCCTACACACGCACGCACGCACGCTCCTCCCACGTGAAAATTACGGCGGACGGCTCACGGCCACTGCCAAAATCCAGCAAATGTCAGAAACGTCCTGCAGCTAAACAAAATTGTTTTAAAATTAAATCCCACCTAGGGCAGGATGTTTAAGAAGGGCGCGTAGGTGGAAAAGAGATGCGAACTTTTGGGTGGAGGCGACACCTCCAAGTTTAACGATAGAACCCTAATAGAGGGGGTGGGGTGGGGGGGTGTTAGGTGCTATTAACTCAAACAAGTTTTATTATACCAGGTAAGAATGCCCACTGAGCTGTATAACTATTTTTTAAAGCGACCTGGTTATCACAAATGATAGCTCAACAAAGTGGCTTATTTCTAGATTTGAAGTTTTCGTGACTGCAAGGATCCATAATCTTTGGTTCTTTCGATAAAGTCACGTAGAAGGGAAATAAAAAATAAAAAAATGAAAATGTATAAAATACAATTCTCACGACGTTTCGGCCACAACGCAAGCAGCCGTCCTCGGGTGAAGAACAGGGCTGTCGGAAAGACAGCGTCCGAATGAACACCACCAAGCTTGGCAGCGTATATTTAAGCTGGGTTAGAGGATGAAATATACGCTGCCAAGCCCGAACAGGTCTGTCGGGAAAACAGCTGTCTTCCCGACAGACCTGTTCTTCACCTGAGGACGGCTGCTTGCGTTGTGGCCGAAACGTCGTGAGAATTATTTTATTATGTTTATTTTTATTATTTAATTATTTCCCTTCTACGTGACTTTACCGTAAGAACCAAGAAAATAACTAAATTAAATCACGACGTTTCGGAAGCAACACAAGCCTCCGTCATCGGGTAGGACAGTCACAGCAAGAAGTAACTTTACCGAAAGAACCAACGCGTAAAGCGTCTTATCATCACGTGGACATTGATTGCGGCCAAATATTCTGAACGCGTGATGTCCATCCTAAATGTAGAGGGGGGAAACCCGGAGGACCCGGAGACAAAATCCATGCAACCGCGGTGAGAGAGAGAGAGAGACACCGCAAATTGGAAATACACACCAGGCGTCAGGGTCGAGATCGAACTCCATGACTGTCCTGTATAACCAGGCGAGATATTTAACATCTAACCACCGTGGCGCCCTTATAAGCCGCGGTCCGGAATCAAACTCAAGTTTCTAAGGTCGCGGGGCAGTGCGGTATAACCATCGTACTCACCGAGAGCGGGGGAACGACAGTCACAGCGGGCGAGCGTGTTCACACAAGCCTACGTGAAAAAAATATTTAAAATGTCATTTATTTTTACTTAATCTAGATTTTAAGTTTTCGTAACCGCAAGTATCCATACTCTTGAATTCTTTCGGTAACGTGACGTAGGTAGACATTTATTTTATTTGATACCTACGTGACTTTACCGAAAGAGCCAAATAGTATTTATATATACTACTGCGTTACTCAATTCCGGAAACTCTTTTTGTCGGGAGCGTCTCTTGCGTTAAAAGAGTTGGCCGGCTCACGAGTGTTGGGGCTTCGTACGGGATGGAAACCGGGAGAAGCGCTACAAAATCGCAGCATAACCGCATCGCGCATTGCCACGGGATGACACTCAGGCGCACACGGACGAGTTTACAAAGCCACCCGCTGTTTCTGCCGTCTCCGAGAACAATCGAAGCCACGGGCTGGGATGAGAGCCACGAAGGCGAGGGGTAACTACGTTGTTAAACATTCGCGTCGGTCGTGATGTGAATGAGAAGGGGCCTGCCATGAGAACGTTGAATGTCCACCAAATGGCCCACGGCACACGAATAAAAATCAATAATCTCCCAATGTCTTCTTGGTTCTTTCGGTAAAGTCACGTAGAAGGGAAATAATAAAATAATAAAAATAAATCGTAATGAAATTCAGACGCTGTCTTTCCGACAGACCTGTTCTTCACCTGAGGACGGCTGCTTGCGTTGTGGCCGAAACGTCGTGAGAATTATTTAATGTTTTATTTTTATTATTTTATTATTTCCCTTCTACGTGACTTTACCGAAAGAACCAAGAAGATGAATCCCTGCAGTCACGAAAGCTTTAAATCGAAATTCCCCAATGCTTGTACGAACGGCAGAGAGCCGCTTAGACTTGATTTTTGGATGAAATAACAAACAAAACCACGACGTTAAACTTGCATTTCAAAAACTCCGACGCTTTTAACCAAATCACCCACTATATCCTCAGCGCTCAGAAGCTAAGCAAGCATTGAGCCTGGTTAGTACTTGGATGGGTTGCGACTGCTCTGTGGGCGTTGGGCTTGCCGAAGACCGGTACCAGCGGTGGCGAGATCGACCTTTATGGAAGAACTTCGTGAAAGACGCTACTGAGCAGTTGGAGGCAGTCGCCCTCCAACAACAACTGAGGGCAGAAGAGCGACGCTCACAACAACCACAACGAGCTGAGCGCCGGCGGGATAAAACGCGGTTGACACAGCAGGGGGTACCGCCGTTGCATCTGCCAGTCATCTCAAGTCAGCCAACCCGTGGCACCTGGGTTTGTCCCATGACCTCCTGTCAGCGAGCCTCAAAGTGCACCTAGCCTGGCACAGGCGCCGTGGTGACTTCGCCGCGCTGGTATTGGTTGGTGCTGCTAAGTGTGTCCTACGAGATGACATTGATGACATTGCTGAGTGTCATCTCCTACCCCCACTTCGTAGGGCGCTGAATTTTTTTCCGTGGGTCTCGGGCATCCTCCCGTACGAAGCCAGACACATTGGCAAAGCCATTCATGGCCAACATCCCAATGTAATGAAGACCCTTCTGCAAAAACAAGATAAAAAAACGCTTCTTGTGATTCAGTGACACCTTACCCGTGCCACTGAAAAAAACATTTACAATACGCGTGATCTCATAACTACTAAATTTAACATTTTAATGTTGGTTAAGGTGAACTTTTCAAAGTCCTTATGAAGGTACGCCAAGTGCTTGCATTTTAATACATTCTCGAGATTAATCTCGCCAGAGCACCCTTTGAAATACCACGTGTAATTGTTCACGGTAATTTTGTTTTGCGCCATTAGTTTCAACGTTGTGTAAATGTAAATCGTGTTTATTGGCCGTGTCCTCATTTTCGATTTAAAGCTTTCGTGACTGCAGGGATTCATCTTCTTGGTTCTTTCGGTAAAGTCACGTAGAATGGAAATAATAAAAATAATAAAAGTACAAAATAATATAGTAATATAATAAAATATTTTATTATGTTTTATTTTTATTTTATTATTATTTCCATTCTATGTGACTTTACCGAAAGAACCAAGAAGACGTGTCCTCATTGTTGACATAGAATTACACTCAGCGTCCATTGGGTCTCTGCCAGAGGCGCGCCTCGCCGCTCGTCTTACAGCACGGCACGTGGAAGTGGAGATCTAAGAGCTACTCCAGAGATACCTTTAAGTGACCCTCTCTCAGCCGCACGCTACTGGCCGCTCTCCGCACTGTGCCCACACACTCCGTGCCGCAGACAATCATGTGCCAAACATCAGCATTGGGGAGACAAAGGCGGCCGGGCGGTGATTCTGGCCGCGCAGTCCCCTCGTGTCCCGTGCCGGCAGGACTTAATCGGTGCTTGCTAATAGCAACATGCCCCAACATGTCTGTTAAGGCTGTACGGGGCATATTTGCATTGCATTTATATCTGCGAATTTGTTGCATAGAATGGGTATGCGAGTTCGGGGCCAACGCCGGTGACGATAATCTGAACCCGATCGTGGGCCTCCCCCTAGGTAGACTCAGCCTCAAATGAGCAGCTTGTGCGGTGTGTGAACATCGCCACTGGGGAGACAAAGGCGGCCGGGCGCGGTGCTGGTCCGTCCACCACCACGTGTGCCGTTCCGGCCTTCACAGACGCTGCTCGCTGATAGCACTTGCCCCAACAGTCTATTGAAGGCTATACGGGAGATCTTTATCTGTGTCGTGACTTCTGTAATCTGGCTTCCGGGTGACTGGAAGGTGAGTTATGTGCGGTGCTTAAAATAGGACGCGGAACACATTTGCATATATCGTTATATCCTGCTTTGCATATTGAAATAATTTGTTTATTATTTTGTTTTTGAACTCACGTATTAGCAGAAATGTACAAATTCCACATTCCTATGGTAGAGGGCAAACATATTCTAGATTTGAAGCTTTTGTGACTGCAAGGATTCATATTCTTAGGTTTTTTCGGTAAAGTCACGTAGGTAAAAAATTAAAATTAATAAAAGTAAAATAAAATAAAAATCACGACGTTTCGGAAGCAACACAAGCTTCCGTCTTCAGGTGGAACAGTCACACGATACAGCTATCGTGGTGGAACAGTCACACGATACAGCTATCGTGTGACTGTTCCACCTGAAGACGGAAGCTTGTGTTGCTTCCGAAACGTCGTGATTTTTATTTTATTTTTATTTAACTTTTATTAATTTAAATTTTTTACCTACGTGACTTTACCGAAAAAAACCTAAGAATATGGCAAACATATTCTTCGGAACGCTGCCGACTCGAAGCAAAATAGTAACAATAATTGTGTTCACCGTGCGTGAATGATTGATGATGATGGGCGAAGTTGCATTTTCACTTTAACTTTGAGGGGTCAGAGACGTTGAGCCTGACACTGCCGAGTGCCTGAGTTCGAATCCAAGTTTCAGCCGCGAGTGATGAATCTTTATTTTTTTTCAAGTGTAGCGAGTTAGTGGTCTCAGCCCGATCTTCAATGACTATTTTCACACCAAAAAAACACTTAATATTAGATTTCGATTTAAAGCTTTCGCGACTGCAGGGATTCATCTTCTTGGTTCTTTCGGTTCTTCTACGTGACTTTACCGAAAGAACCAAGAAGACGTAATATTAGGTTGAGTTTGACACGTAATTTGGTAAAATTACAAACTTTGAGGACA